GACGTTAGAAGAGGTGTTTTTGTCAGTCTGCACTGGAAAGATATACTTTGCAACAATGGCACGAACGGAAATATTATCCTTTAGTTATTGCGATTATGTAAGGAAATACTTATATGAAAATGCCATTGGCGCGTCTCACCCATTTATTCTTTTTCTTGTCTATTAAATAATAATTTATTAAGTGAATAATTCCACGTTTAAAACGTGAATAATTAGAAATATATAAAGGAGGTAGTTTTGGAATTTGGAATATTTGAAAGAGTCTCTTTGGCTCGCAAAATGGGTATATAATAATTTACGCTAATGCACCGGGCTTTTAGCGTTTTTCGAATTCGAAGCGATAAACGTAAACTAATTCATAACTCGGAAGACGTTTTCGCCAATTATACCGTTTGATTAGCGTTTTCTCCGGAAAACTGAATGTTCATTACGTTTTTTTTTTCATCTTGCATCAGAACAACAACGAAAAATCGCAAATAAAATTTTTTTTTAAATAACATTAACTGGCCGTTAGTCGATTTGACACCAACCTGTGCGTTATGTGTTAATTAGCGGTGCACGAGGCCTCCGGAGACGGCGGGACCCCGCCTCACTGACGCGCCTACCGCTTCCTAGAGATGGGACTGTTATTTCGACGACGCGACGCTTCGGGCAAATTCGAAAAAAATGTGACATTTTGTTTAACTTTTTATTTTATCGCATGTAAACGTATTTAAAAAAAAACCTTAAAATACAGGTGTATAAAATATCCAATGAAAAGCAGCCCCTATAATATAAGCTTGTAATCGGGTTTATAATTTTATTTCTGTAGGACTTTTATTACATTTTTTTTGAGATTTCTCAAAGAGAGAGAAGTTGATTTCTGAGTTTCAATAAAGAATTGAAAAATAAATACTGCATTTTGCGTTCATAATTTTGCCTTAATACTTTACAGTAGCAAATGTTGTACCAAAACAATGGTTAAAACAATACAAAACAAGCACCCAAGCTTGCATTCCAGTAAATGGGAACAATTTTGAACATCTTGTATAAGTAATTGAACTGTTAAACTATTATTTTATCATCTCGATTTCTGTAAGACTTTTTATTACATTTTTTTGGGGAAATTAACTTCTTTCATAACAGTGCATATGTGGTTAGAATTTGTCGGATAAGTTGTGAAATACCCTGTATAATTGAATGATATATTTTTGTCAAACATTATAAGCAAACGACATTTTTTTTTTGATAAAATTCCGATTTTCGTGGAGACGTAACGGAATCAGCACTCGACGATAAATATATTAACATACAGAGTGTTCCATTTGAAATAACAAAGTTTATGCCTACTTCCGAAAGTGGCACGACTGTCAAAATATTTCTAAGAGATTCCTCTATTTGCATAATACATACATACCAAATATTATTTAAATCGGATAAGTAGTTTCCAATATACAGACAGTTTTAACTCGTCGTGGGATACTCCTTTACTCTACTTTGTGTACTAATATAGTATAATATAATTGAATGATATATTTTCGTCAAACATTATAAGCAAACGACAATTTTTTTTTGATAAAAATTCCCGATTTTCGTGGAGACGGTAACGGAATCAGCGCCTCGATGTTAAAGCGCCGCCGCTTCCGCCTCTATCGGGAAGACTCCGCTTCGTAGGTGGCGGCTTAGCGGCCGGAGTGCCACGAGGTGCGTTGTCCCGAAGGTCGGATGCAATGTGTCCGTGTCCGAGGGATCGTATACACGACCATATACGGGACGGGGCCTGGAAAGCACCCCTTCGTATAAACGACGGGAATGTACGGGAATTTTCCTTTCTCGACTTCTGCACGATTACTCGACCGCCAGACCCTGCCCTTTTTTCCCCGCATGCCAATCCCGGGGATGCTTTATCTCTATACATGCGTGTATACCTATACATATGCTGGGGATCTACAGGGTGTCTCATGAGTTGATAGTTTTTTTTTTTAACTGCGTAAGGTAGACTGGTTGTAAAATTTGTATAGTTCAAATTAAATCGTAAAATGTGGCTTTATTTTTTCTCTTATTAGAAATGCTGATACCGCATTAAATTCACAACTTCCTAAACTAAAGAATCGAGGTATTAAAAAGTTTTTTTTGAAAAAGGAAGAAAACGATTTTACATATTTTTTAAAATGTTGACAATATGTTACATTTACTTCATAATACGGGGTAAATGTAACAAACGGTTCTAAAGTCTTCCTCTAAAATTTGATATGCTGTATATTTATTTATTTCAAAAAATAACAGAGCTACAATATAATAAAGAAAAAATAAGAAACAAACCCTGTTTAATACACAAAAGAACTATAAAAATAATAAAAAACATTAACATAATAGGAAAAAATATTACATTTACCCCATTTTTACATTTGCCCCAGTCTACCTTATAGATATTAATTCTAAGCAACTTTTTCAAGTAAAATTTTTTAATATTCTGTAAAATAAGAGAGCATGTTTTTTGTCAATTTTTAATTCCAATTCATTATTTGTATAAAAATGAGCCATTTTCAATTCAACAATCGAAAAATTAATTTTTTTGTCATTAATTATTTATTATTTTTTTGACACTTGTATGGTAATGGCGGGTACGTATTGGAAATTATTCGAAATTTAAAGAAATTTTACAAAAATTTCCATCTTTTACTTCCTCCCTGTTTACCTATTAATAAATAATTGATTAGAGGTGAATAAGATAATTTCATCTTAACAATACGTTTAAATATATTATTCTTTTTCAGGTCATTCTCCAGTACCTAGCGCATATTCAGGATTTCATCGGTGAGTGATTTTGTATATATTTTACCCTTTATTAAGCGAGATGAATCGCTGTTATTTTTTTTTACAATAATTATATTATTGTTAAGCGATATAAAATTTAGCGACTCTTCGGTTATTATTTTATTATATTAAATTCGGAATGGTCCTCGGGGAGCATCTCCGATAAAATTAAAGAACCCTTTGCGAAATGATCGACGTCATCTGTAAAAGTTTATCGATACGATGAGAATAATCGAATTAATTCCGTCGTTTTCGATAATAACATTTCGGAATATCCTCTCCGGTTCGCCGTTTCGCGCTGCTCTTTCCCCCGGCCGGTCGAGAAAAACTTTTTCATTAAAATTATTCGTAAAATAACATACCTATAGGTACCCTTCGAAAAAGATAAAAGGCCCCCCCTTTTCTAATTACTCAATGGCGGGATAATTGCATTAAGGTTTTCTAAATAATAATTCGCCATATAGCAATTCGCCCTGATGGATGATTTTTTTTTTCATGCAATACCTTCAATATTTACGAATGTATATGCAGAGTCGGACTTATTTATCGGACTATTTATTTACCGGTTAATTTGGGTCGTAAATCACGCGTGAAAAATTTTTACTGATAAAATTTCATTGCCCGAAGAGGTGTTGTTTAATGGTGTTGCGTGTGGATCTGCAAATGGTAAATGAGCCGTGAATTTCGAGTAAATAAATGGTATAATTAGGACTTTTTACTAATAATAAATTACCTCTAACTGCCTAATTTGGTAGGAATACGTTTAATTTATTGTAGATACCGATTAATAAAAATGATTGAGTTAAATGCTTGTTTGTTATCTGTTAATATGATGATGTAATATTTTGCGTAATGTGTATAATTTTTGATATTTTTAGAAATTAATTTTTTAATAACTATTTTTGAAAAAAATAAGAAATATTTTTTTTGTCATTTTTATTAACAAAAATTAGAAAATTTCTGTAAAAAGGTGCATAATCTTAAAATGGGGAATAAAAACGTTTTTCGCCGTCAGTCCCTGTAGCGCAGAGGATAGCGCGTTGGACTTCTAATCCAAAGGTCGTGGGTTCGATCCCCACCAGGGATGGTATAGTGGTGAACTTTTTTACTACAAAACAATTCATTCAAAACCTTACTTTTTACACAACCTTACACCGGACAAAAAAAAAGTTTCCCATTATACCATCCGACATTTTTCGATAAACGGAGTAAATTCAAACTTTATCGCCGTCGCCGCCGAATAAATTACCGCACGAAAAAGATATTATGCAATTCGAGCGCCTCGTATACACCAATAATTAGCACGACAAACGATTAAATCCGACCCCGAGGGCTCCGTACATCTTCACTCACCATACAATTTTTTTTTCTTCCAACCTTTCTTTCCTATCCTAATCGCCGGCGAGGATGGCTCGGCCGTGCACGCGAACCCGAACCCATAGACTAATTAGAAACACCGCGATAAATATTAATAACAATAATAAATAGCGTAATGCAACGTAACCACCCACTACGCGTTTCGTGAACGGCCTTTTAAACGATTCCGGCCCGATGAAGATATAAACAGTCAATTAGAGGAGTTATGAGATGGTAGATGGTCGATCGGAAAAACCGAACTGCCGGCGAGGAATTGATGTTTATGGTAATTTACCTGTTACGTTATCGAACTAGATGAGCTGATGAAAATGTGAGAGGATTTTGGGAAAAACTTGGTGGTTTTCGAAATGAACAAAATGTTGATATAAATGAAGATATAAACAGTCAATTAGAGGATTTATTGGATGGTGGATCGAAAAGTGTAATGCCGGCGAGGAATTGATGTTTATGGTAATTTACCTGTTACGTTATCGAACTAGAAGAGATGATGAAAATGCGGGAAGAATTTGGGGAAAACTTGGTGGTTTTCGAAATGAAAAAAATGTTGATATAAATGAAGATATAAACAATCAATTAGAGGATTTATGGGATGGTGGAATGAGAAAGTGAATTGCCGGCGAGGAATTGATGTTTATTGTAATTTACCTAGAAGAGTTTATGAAAATGCGGAAAGACTAGGTAGTTTTTGAAATGAATACTATATTTAATCATTCATTAATTTATTTCTGTAAGTTATACCCACCTACAAATTTCTAACAACTCTTCTAACTAGTAAGAATTTGTAGGTTGAATATAATAATTATCTACAACTGTCTGTACAGGTTGCACCGGCTCTGAAAAAAAAAACTCGCTATAATACATTTCAATATCACCAAAAACCCATACCTGGCGTAACCTCCTTCTTATGGTGGAACAAATTCTTAATTTTATCTCCAACAGTCTGCTTGTGCTGTTCATCTACCACCACTTCCCCACCATCAACAACACCCTCTAAATTAAAAACCACACTCATCACCAAATCCAACAACTATCGAACCGAACTCACCCGCCTGTCGATGACCTCCATTGAGCAAATTAGCACCGAACCCGGCCTCCTGCCCGAGCACTTTAGCCTGCGACGACAAATGCGCGCCGGTCTTGTGACCGCCCAACGTTATGGATCCGCTCACGCCGATCTCGCTGTGCAGCACCTTCACGTGCAAGTTCACCTCCTGGTCCACCAGCGGCTTGGTCTTCAAATCATCGACGATCTTCTCTACGCCTTTATGCAGTCTGCCGTCTTTGCCGAGCAGCGGCGGCTTCGTCGCCAGATCCTCGTGGATCTGCTCGATTTTCTCGTGCAGTCTGCCGGTTTTGCCGAACAGCGGTTGCTTGGTCGACGGCGGTTCGATCCCGTTGTGGTCGATCGCCTCCTGGTGGTCGGGTTTGTTGTGAAACAGGATGGACTCCTGCGAGTGTTCTGCTAGGAGAACGATGAGTAGTGTCTGGAATTGGATGTGTTCTTAGCTGTAGTGACTTTAGGTGGGAAGCACCAGGTTGTTTGGGCCGTTGTAAAAACTCTATAGAGTATAGAGTAGAGTTGCTTGAATAAATCTTGGGCAAAACTGGATAATACATGTTTTTTTGTGAATAGTATAATAGGTGGTTACAATTACTGGTGAAGATGGTGGATAAATGGAGAGTAATGTAAATGATGCAATAGAGATCAAGTATAAAGGTAGATAGATATAAATAATGATGATAAAAATATACTTACACAATATAAACGCATGGTATGGTGTATGAGGCGACAAAACAAACTATAAAAAATGCGTCTTTAATGTAAAAGTTAAATATTTAATTAATTGCAATGTGATAAAAGAGGTTCAATAGGTCATCCTTGGGGCTTTATCAATTCTCGATAATTTAGGTTATTGCGGTAATTATTCCAAAAAAAAAAATTGTCCGTTTTACTCGGTTATTTGTGCAAACGATGAACGCGAATCGGGGAGGCTTTCGTGGGGGGAGGGGGGGCGTCGAGACGCGTCGCTTTCGGCGTCGCCTCAACGCCGAAATATATACATAATAACTTCGGTTTCGGTAAGTTATCGGACGAAATAATTGCACGTAATATTTTACGTCTCTCGTTGTAATTGCGGCGTAATGCCGAGTATTAAGAATTGGAAAATCTGAAAGCCTTTCTCATTCCGTATTTAATTCGGCTAAACCCCCAATGGAAATCAGAATTAAAACGTAGTTTTCTTGCGGAACTCGCGCCCGCCCCGAATTTTCCACCGCGGAAAATCCACTCGACGAAATCGTTTGCAATTAACTTATTTTCTCCCATATATGTAGATAAAAATTAATAGTGTACGGTCGGCTTTATGTTTGTAACAATTCGTTGTGAAAATTATTTGTAATTTTCAAATTATTACTCAAATTATAATGAATGTGTAAATTATACATGTATGTAATTAATACAATTAAACTTTACCTGAATCGTAGGTAATTACAGCAATAAAGCAGTCCATACACTAAAAAAAAATTGGAATTATTGTGAGGTATTAAAACAATTAATTCTAACGTGTGGATTTTTGGTGGAATGATCTCTCTAAAAAGGATTTCCTCTTTTGACTCCTTCTTTCGTTTAAATATCTCGCTTGTTTTATAATCTGTCTCTGTCTCTTATTCTTAAATCTATCACAATTCTGCGTGCGTTTTATCGCAGGGAACCCCGTCGGACAAATTACTCCCAGGTTGGAAAAGTGCCGGCGGTGCGCGGGGACGGTCGGGGAGGCGGCAAAAAGGAGACGGTCGCTGGAGGGGGCGGCGGCGGGTTAGGTACAAGGGGTGGAATTCTTCTTCTTCTTCTTCTTCTTCCTACCCTTTTTCTTTTCTAAAGAGTCGAGCGAGGAGAATTTTACGAAATTAATGTTTATAATTGCATTGTTTCTTGTTCAAGAAAATAATAGAATACATTGATTAAGTTTCTTAAGTCACTAATGAGTATTTCCCGAGCGAAACTAAGATATACAAATTGAATTACGTTTTAGGAAAGTTTTAAGAAATCCTCCGAAGATATAAGAATGGGAATCTCGTCACGATATGAATTTAAATGAGTTTTTTGTTTAATGAGTTTCCCGAAAGTGAGATATTTTAATCGAGTTCGATTACTCTTACTCCCCCGTCCTTTTAACCCCAGCACTAAACTATTCCCTCGCACACCAGATGAGCTTTCATCTGAATCCCATAAATAAAATACGACCAGATAGGTATATTATGTAATCGTTTATTATTTCATTTCCAAACGATAATTACCAGATATTTGTCGCTAATTATTATCTAATAAACGCGTCCTTTAATTCCTGTAACTTCGGTTTTTTTACCACCGTGTCCATAACTACCTACATGGTCGGTTTGAACGTGCCCGTGACCCGAGTGAACTTCCTCCATGTCCTCTAAACCGCCGAATTGCACCACTGGTAGCCTGAAAAAAATTTCAATTTTATTGCGAAATCGCCCAAAATCGCCCGCTTTATCAACTCACCCGTGCCCTTCGTGACTTCCCACGGCAATTCCAATTTTTGTTTGGTGACCTTCGAGTCCGGATTGACGATTGTATCCAGTTGGGTGACCTACATATCCGGTACGGTGTTCATCTAATCCAGTATTGTGATCGTTAAAACCCGTTTGATGACCCCCTTTTCCAGATTGGTGATCGTCGAATCCGGTTTGGTGACCTCCGTACGCAGTGTGATGGTCGTTTGATCCACGGTTAAAGCCGGTTTCGTGTTCGTTAACTCCAGAATGATGATCGTTAAATCCTGTTTGGTGACTTCCATATGCAGAATGGTGTTCGTTTTGATGATCGTTAAATCCTGTTTGATGACCTCCTCTTCCAGATTGGTGTTCGTTTACTCCAGTGTGATGATCGTTAATGCCTGTTTGGTGACTTCCATATGCAGAATGGTGTTCGTTGTGATGATCGTTAAATTCCGTTTGATGACCTCCTTTTCCGGAATGGTGATCGTCGAGTCCAGCTTGGTGACCTCCGTACGATGTGTGATGGTCATTTGATCCGGTTTCGTGTTCGTTTATTCCGGTGTGATGATCGTTGAATCCTGTTGTGTGACTTCCGTATCCAGAATGATGGTCATCTAATCCGGAATGGTGGTCCGATCCAGTTTGGTGACCTCCGTATGTAGTGTGATGGTCGTTTGGTCCACCGTGGGGTGAGTTAAAGCCGGTTTGGTGTTCGTTTGATCCGGAATGGTGATCGTTAAATCCAGTTGGGTGATTTACGTAGCCAGTTTGGTGAGCTGCTTTAGTACCGTGATTTTGCGTTACGCCGTAGCCTAGAACTAGGTGGCTGGCGATGAGAAATATGAAACTTGTTGAAATCTAAAATTTAATGAAAAAAAAATATTTTGGCGACAAAAAAAATATTAATACTTACAAACATCTTCGTTTGCTTCGAGCTGTATCTGAATTACGTGGGATTTTTTTGCGATAATCGGTTTTATAATAGTGTTGTTTCGGGATTATCGAATGGGTCACGGCAATCTTCGATTCTGGGTAAAAATAACACGTCGAATTATGTAAAAATATATTTTTCGAATCGTAACTAAAGGAGGAAAATAATAAATTTCGAAACAAAACAGTTGCGAAAATAAAACTTTTTATTAAAACAAACTTTAAAAAACTAGTCGATTTAAATCAATACCAAGCCCGCCTAAAGTACATCCAAAATTTACTGTCTCATTGAATGAGCCAGAGCCTCGTCCTGCACGTGGCTGTTCTGAATGACGTAGCGCCCGGTACCTCCTTGTACGTACTGAGTCTGCACCTGCGGACTAACTTGAATCCTCTGCAAAATCCTGGAATCCCACTGCATTTGCGGCACCCATTGCCCCATCGAATCGTAGTACCTCCTGGTGGCCAAATCCCACCAACCGCCGCTACCGTCGTACAACCTGCTGCCGGATTGCTGCTGGATGATTTGCTGCTGGCCGATTTGCTGGTTTTGCTGAGTTAGATCCCAAGGCGCGTTGTCCAATTGGCCGTACTTGTTGTAGTGCATCCTGGTGACGGCGTCCCACCAGCCGCCCTGCGCGTCGTAGATCCTCCTGTCGTCGACTTGGGGATGCTGATAGTAGCCGTCGTGCTCCCTGCCGCTGACGTAGATCTCGCCGTTGTCGAGGTAGACGCGCTGCTTCATGGGCTGCGCGCCGGCGTAGACCGTCTTGAGGTAGTACTGGCGGCCGTTTTTGTCGGTGAAGATCTCGCGGGCGTGCGCGTCGACGGCCTGGCCGTCGAGCAGGTTGCCGTTGACGCTGACTTTTTGGCCCAAGACGTCGGCGCCGCCGCCGAGATGGAGGCCGGTGGCGTCTTTGCCGATGCCGACGGCGCCGTCGACGCCGACTTCGTTGCCCAAGACGTTGACTTTGGCGTTGGCGTCGACGTTGACGAGGTTGTCGATGCCGAGTAGATCGCCGGCTTTGTGGATGAGGCCGTTCTTGCCTAGCAAGAGACCGGCCTGGGAGCCGGCCACTAGGATGCACAGGATCGACTGGAAATTTTTAATCACTTGGGGTCATCTTGTTATATAGACTTAATCATAGAGGTATGGAGGTCTACCACAAGCTCAACCACAGACTCAACATCCATACACTCGCTCATAGATTCAACCTTAGACTCAATCGTAGACTCAACCATTAACTCGCCTATACATTCAACCTAGGGCTCAATCATCAGATTCAACATTAGGCTTAACCATAGACTCAATCATAGATTCAATCATAATGTTGAAGAGGAGTGTGTTGAATGATACATTATGGTTATTTTATTTAGAATCATATAGAAAATGAACTGGGATTTTGAATGATTCTGGTTAAATAAATAAGCTGAGGTCTTGGCGTTTACAATTTAGTGAATTATTGGTAAAAATTGAAGTGGGTAAATTATTTTGGGTACTCACCAGTGTTTTAAACATCATTTCTTTTTGTCGGAAAAAACTGACGGGTTTTCGCGGATTTGTTCTTATTTATAAATAAAGTTATCTTGGCGTTATTTCGAGATAATGTTTGTAACGATTTGTTATCGATGTATTTGATATAGTTACTTCCTTTGGGGTTATTGGCGGGAAGGGTAATCTGCGTTATCTTGATTTTTTTTCTAATTTCGTAATTGATTTTTTCTATTTTTGTACTGGTAGTGCGATAAAAGGAGATCTTATTGATAAAGATATTATTATTTTTAACTAAAATTAGAGGATAAACTGAAATAACTGATTACTTTTAGTATAATTTTACTTTATTCTTTAATTTCATTTTTTCAAGATTCTAGGTGGCTGGTATATTAAATAATTAATCAAAAATCTTAAGAAAACTATGTTCTATTATAAAATTCATGGATTTGACTGGTTGATTATTTTTAGTTCTTAGGTAACAATTTTTTTATCCAAAAATGTATAATTTTTTCCAACAAATTTGGAATTCAAAAACATTTTGGATTTTCAATAAAGCTAGAAAGAATACTCAAAGAAAAATTTCGAATCAACAATTTATTTACGAACATATCATTACTTTTATGGTGGAAACATTTTATTATAAATAAAACACTTATTACATGCCTTATTTATTTATTAATAATTAACAAACAATTCATTAATATTTGGCATTTTATTGAACAAAAATCATTTTTTCTTATTGCTGATTTTGGCCAACTTGGTGGTTGGTATTCAAAAGATTCTTCTCTTCTTCAACCCACCTTTGACCAGCTAGATTAGGTTGAACAAGATTTTTTTCTTCATTAACCCATTTTTGACCGGCTGGCTGAGAATCCCAAAGTTCCTTCTCCGCATCCATCCAATTTTGTATGTGCTTTTGCATCTCTTTTTCCTTATCGTTGCTCCCTTCGAGAGCACCCACAATCGGTTTAACCACTCTCAATTCGTGACTGGGATCGTCCCATTCTTTCGGAACTTCGGACAGTTTGCTCACTCTTTCGAGGATTCTCGGATCCCATACTTTTGTCGTTACCAATTGTCCTTGCTTGTTGTAGTACCGTTTGGTTTTGAGGTCCCACCAACCGCCTTGTGGATCGTAGAGTCGAGTTGTCACGATCGGTTTGGTGATTTTTTCTAATATTTCCGGGTCCCAGATTTTCGTAGCGATGTATTGGCCTTGTTTGTTGTAGTATTTTTTGGATTCGACGTCCCACCAGCCGCCGTCTTGATCGTAAATTTTGGTCGTTACCGTAGGCTTGCCGATTTTTTCTAGAATACTTGGATCCCATACTTTCGTTGGGACGTATACTCCTTGTTTGTTGTAGTATTTTCGGGCGTCGACGTCCCACCAACCGCCATCAAGATCGTAAATTTTTCTCGTTACTATAGGCTTGGTGATAGTTTCGAGGATCCTGGGATCCCACACTTTACTAACCACCAGTTGGCCTTGTTTGTTGTAGTATCGCTTGGTGTTCAAATCCCACCAACCGCCTTCTTGATCGTAGATTTTGGTGGTTATGATTGGTTTAGTGGACTGTTTGGAAACTATTTCTAATATTTCGGGGTCCCAGATTTTCGTAGCGATGTATTGACCTTGTTTGTTGTAGTATTTTTTCGTTCGGACGTCCCACCAACCGCCATCTTGGTCGTAAATTGTCGTGATCGAGGTCGATGCGTTATCTTGTCCCAGAACTGAAGAATCCCATTTTTTCGTATCTACCCAATGTCCAAGTTTGTCGTAGTAGAGCCTGGTGTTGAGGTCCCACCAGCCGCCATCTGGGCCGTACAGTTTTCTTGTAGATGGTTTGCGAAGTATTAGCAGAATTTTGGGATCCCATACTTTCGTTGTAACCAGTTGTCCTAAATTGTTGTAGTATCGCTTGGTTTTGAGGTCCCACCAACCGCCCTCTTCGTCGTAGATTTTGGTTATGGTCGGTTTTTTGACTACTTTCAATAGCTTGGGATCCCAAACTTTGGAAGGTACCAATTGGCCTTGCTTGTTGAAGTATTGTTTGGTGTTTAGGTTCCACCAGCCACCTGTTTTGTCGTATATTCTCATTACAGCCGGTTTGCTTGCTGTATCTTTAACTCCGGTGTCTTTGTCGTTTGAGAGGTCTTCGTCGTCGTAGGATTTTTCTTCGATGATTTCGATTGGTCGTCGAGTTGGTATGGGCTTGTGGTTAACGTATATTTGGGTTTCCCATTCTTCAAATAGCGGAGTTGTTGTTTCGGGTTGGTAAATTTCTTCAGAAGATACATCTTCGATCTTTTCGGTAACGTCTTCTACGACTATTTGATGATGAGCTTCGTCATCCTCTTCTGGAATATGTACATTTTCGTCTATTGTTTGATCGATTTCTTGTTGGTCTGGAACTTCGTCACTATGTTCTGGAGATACGTGTTCAGAAGGTACGTCTACAATTTTTTCTGGAATTTCTTCTACCGGTTTATCTTGTTCGTCTATGGGTTTGTTTGTTACGGTTTGAATTGGTTTGTTGGAAATGATACCTAAAATTGAGGGATCCCATACTTTCGACACAATTAGTATTCCATATCTATTGTAATATTGTCTAGTGCTTAGGTCCCACCAGCCGCCATCTTGATCGTAGATTCTATGTACAGTTGGTTTGTGGAGTTGATCCAAAATTGTTGGATCCCAAACTTTCGAAATTACCAATTGTCCTAGATGATTGTAGTATTGCCTTGTAGTAAGATCCCACCAACCACCATCTTGATCATAAATTCTGTTTACTGTTGGATTGTTCAGTTGCTCCAGAATACTTGGATCCCATATTTTTGAAATTATTATTTGTCCTTGGCTATTGTAATAATGTTTGGTAGTAAGATCCCACCAACCACCGTCCTGATCGTAAATTTTATTTACTGTTGGTCTGTAGATTTGCTCTAAAATTCTTGGATCCCATACTTTTGAAATTATCAATTGTCCTAGTTTATTGTAATATCGTTTGGTAGTAAGATCCCACCAACCACCATCTTGATCATAGATTCTAGTAATAGTTGGTTTGTTCAATTGCTCCAAAATACTTGGGTCCCATACCTTTGTGATTACCAGTTGTCCTCTGTTGTTGTAATATTGTTTGGTATTAAGGTCCCACCATCCACCATCTTGATCGTAGATTCTGTTTTCATTTGGCCTGTTAAGTTGGTCTAAAATCCTAGGATCCCAAACTTTTGAAATTATCAATTGTCCTTGGCTATTGTAGTAATGTTTAGTAGTGAGGTCCCACCAACCACCATCTTGATCGTAAATTCTGTTTCCATTTGACCCATTGAGCTGATCCAAAATCCTAGGATCCCATACTTTTGAAATTATCAATTGTCCTTGACTATTGTAGTAATGTTTGGTTGTAAGATCCCACCAACCACCATCTTGATCGTAGATTCTGTTTCCATTTGACCCATTGAGTTGATCCAAAATCCTAGGATCCCATACTTTCGAAATTATCAATTGTCCTTGACTATTGTAGTAATGTTTGGTTGTAAGGTCCCACCATCCACCATCTTGATCGTAGATTCTGTTTTCATTTGGCCTGTTAAGTTGGTCTAAAATCCTAGGATCCCATACTTTTGAAATTATTAATTGTCCTTGACTATTGTAGTAATGTTTGGTTGTAAGATCCCACCAACCACCATCTTGATCGTAGATTCTGTTTCCATTTGACCCATTGAGTTGATCCAAAATCCTAGGATCCCATACTTTTGAAATTATCAATTGTCCTTGGCTATTGTAGTAATGTTTGGTAGTAAGATCCCACCAACCACCATCTTGATCGTAGATTCTGTTTCCATTTGACCCATTGAGTTGATCCAAAATCCTAGGATCCCAAACTTTTGAAATTATCAATTGTCCTTGGCTATTGTAGTAATGTTTGGTAGTAAGATCCCACCAACCACCATCTTGATCGTAGATTCTGTTTCCATTTGACCCATTGAGTTGATCCAAAATCCTAGGATCCCATACTTTCGAAATTATCAATTGTCCTTGACTATTGTAGTAATGTTTGGTTGTAAGGTCCCACCATCCACCATCTTGATCGTAGATTCTGTTTTCATTTGGCCTGTTAAGTTGGTCTAAAATCCTAGGATCCCATACTTTTGAAATTATTAATTGTCCTTGACTATTGTAGTAATGTTTGGTTGTAAGATCCCACCAACCACCATCTTGATCGTAGATTCTGTTTCCATTTGACCCATTGAGTTGATCCAAAATCCTAGGATCCCATACTTTCGAAATTATCAATTGTCCTTGGCTATTGTAGTAATGTTTGGTAGTAAGATCCCACCAACCACCATCTTGATCGTAGATTCTGTTTCCATTTGACCCATTGAGTTGATCCAAAATCCTAGGATCCCAAACTTTTGAAATTATCAATTGTCCTTGGCTATTGTAGTAATGTTTGGTAGTAAGATCCCACCAACCACCATCTTGATCGTAGATTCTGTTTCCATTTGACCCATTGAGTTGATCCAAAATCCTAGGATCCCATACTTTCGAAATTATCAATTGTCCTTGACTATTGTAGTAATGTTTGGTTGTAAGGTCCCACCATCCACCATCTTGATCGTAGATTCTGTTTTCATTTGGCCTGTTAAGTTGGTCTAAAATCCTAGGATCCCATACTTTTGAAATTATTAATTGTCCTTGACTATTGTAGTAATGTTTGGTTGTAAGATCCCACCAACCACCATCTTGATCGTAGATTCTGTTTCCATTTGACCCATTGAGTTGATCCAAAATCCTAGGATCCCATACTTTCGAAATTATCAATTGTCCTCGACTATTGTAATAAAGTTTGGTAGTAAGATCCCACCAACCGCCATCTTGATCGTAGATCCTGTTTCCATTTGCCCCATTGAGTTGATCCAAAATTCTGGGATCCCATATTTTGTTGATTACCAGTTGTCCCAGTTTATTGTAGTAGTGCTTCGTGGTCAAATCCCACCAACCGCCACTTTGATCGTAGATCCTATTTTGCGTCGGACGGTTTAGCACTTCTAAAATCTTCGGATCCCAAACTTTCGACACCACCAATTGTCCTAAATGGTTGTAGTATTGGTGCGTTGTCAAATCCCACCAACCGCCGCTTTGATCGTACAATCTATTCCGAGTCGGATCGTTTTGTCCTTGTAAAATCCTCGGATCCCATATTCTAGTACTGTCCCATATGCCTAGTCTGTTGTAGTATTTTTTAGTGGTTAAATCCCACCAACCGCCTTCTCGATCGTACAATCTATTCTGAGTCGGATTAACCTCCGTAGGTTTCAACACTTGCCATTCGTCGGGCGTTTTCAAATGGTCCAAAATATCAGCGTCCCATTGTTTGTACTTTAGGTATCTACCTTTACTATTGTAGTACTTTTTATCGTGCAAATCCCACCAACCTCCGCTCTTGTCGTAGAGTTTGTTCTCGCGAAGGGTGTATTCTTCTTTTTTGCCTCCGAAATCGAAGATGTCCAGCAAACCGGCTTGGGTGGCGCTGATTAACAGCAGCAAAGGCATCTGGAAGATGATTCATTTGATTATTAGGTTTTAAATTGTTTTTGGGAATATTTTTTGTATGTTTTTGGTAGTTTTAAGCACGTTAAAATAGCGAATAAAATTGATGAATTGAAAATAAATTAAATTGTTTTTTTTCTTACCAAACGTCCTAATTCCATTTTATCACAGTCAACTGACCATTACATACAAAAATTTACCTTTGATAAAATTTTATTTATAAGCGGTTGTTATCACAATCTCTTTTATACAGTTTTTCCATCTTGATAAATAATAATAAATGTTTATTTTTGTTTTCCGCGTTGATAGAGGTTTTATTTTTATTGAAATATCGATAGAAAAAGTGAAATTCACTCGCAGATAAAAATCAAATTTACTCAATTAAAATGACCCGTAAATGTAACATATTGTCCAACATTTTAAAAAATATGTAAAATCGTTTTCTTCCTTTTTCAAAAAAAAACTTTAATACCTCGATTCTTTAGTTTAGGAATTTGTGAATTTAGTGTAGTATCAGCATTTCTAATAAGAGAAAAAATAAAGCCACATTTTAGTATTTAATTTAAACTATTCAAATTTTACAACCGATTTGCCCCAGTCTACCTTATATAATAATACTCGCAGTTGATACGAAGGGAGGACGATCGTATTTTTACGATGCGGTACCGTCGTCGGTGGTACCGAAGCATCGATATGGGTACCGGACGGATTGTACGTGATCACGCGTGCATCCTTTTGATCACAAGGCGGCCGCCTCCGGCCTCGGATCTGAATAATTGCATCTACCATTTCGATATATTAATCAATCGAATCCGAGCCGACTTTCGTATACCTATGTTCCGCTAATAAATTGAATCGGTAGATAGAGTTTGGAACGAAAAAAAAAAAAAAGTCGAGAAGAAACGATGCGGGATCGAATAATCTGTACCTAGTATCGGGAAAAATGTTTCGTTTCCGTGGATTTCGATTTGATGGATATTTCTGTAAAAATGAGGTTAATACAAGAAGCGGCTATACAGGGTGGCCAATTAAGATTGCGAGGTACTCTATCTGAGAAACTATGCATCGTAGAGGATTGCGGTAAAAAAAGTTATTACTAAAACGGGCAAGAGAAAATCATGGAAAATATTTTCAAGGCCACCCTGTACATATTTTGCGCTGTTGTCAAGATGGTTAATTTGTAGTAAACATTAAGAAATATGGTAGTTGTGTATGGTATTTCTGCGACAAGTAGGCGATTGCAAAAAGAGGTTTTCGTATTTTGCGTTGTTGTCAAATCGATTAATTTGTAGTTGAAATGCAGGAAAATAAATGAATGGGGATTTATAGAGGAAACGCGTAAAAAAAACCAATATAACCGTGTCGCATATAAGCAAAGACGAGACGTAGAAAAAGGCGATGCGGCGACCGCACGAAAGTATGAATGAATGGAAAACCTCAAAATTACGTTTATTCATTCGTATCGAAGAACCCGTAGCGTCTGGAACAAAGAATTCTCATTCACAACATATCGACTTTTTTTTTTTTGTTGTTTTCACGAAAAAAATCAACCGACGTGGCGTACTTTTTGTTCCGTCCGACACGAAACGGCCGATGAAGAATTTACTAAATAAATTTCATGCATCATTCTACCCATATAAATTTTAATAGATCTTTTTTTGCGCTCGCACTGCCACCGGCCGGCGTATCTACGAATTATCCCGTAGACCATGTCTAAATGTCCACATCCTGATTCTGGTTTTTACGTTTGTCGTTCGGCGTTTTCAGTTCAGCGCCTTATTAAAATATATATGAGTGAATATCGGAGCGTTCTTCGCTCGCTTAATTTCCAGATTCAATTTCATGTCACTTTAAAATTCCGCTCGTATTTGATCGGGCCCGCCGACGATTCTCACACTCTCTTCGTTTACAAAACAATTTCATTTTTTTTTCTCTCCTCATAATACACTCCGCTATAAAAATTATATACGGGGTGTTAATTAATTGTATGCCGATACTTCGGGATGTGAATATTTGGATGATTTTAAGAAGAAAAGTTTATATCAATGTGTGTCCTATACCTCTTAGTTATCGAACTACAGGGTGTTAAAATTTTAGAAAAAAAAATCCCATTAGTAATGGGATTAATAAAGACTTTGACGTACCTCGGGAATTTGTAAAAAAATTATTCACCTTCCTGCAAGCGAATTTATTCCAGTTAAGGTCTCCACACGGTATGTATAGTTTCCATGTGCTTTCCAAGGTCTACAGTTATCGGTTTTCTGGGAATCGGTCCAGCACCCTAAACGATGCGATAGAAGTTTTCGAATTGCTGTTCGCATTAATCGCGCACAATTAGTTGGAGGACCTTAATCTTGGTATAGCCGCCCTTCGTTCGGGGTGGACGGGGGATGGAGGAACGAAACCGATTGCAGATCGGGTTAATTCCGGCCGGCGTGTGTATGTATATGCGTGTGTTGTTGTTGTTGTTAGAGCAGATAGAAGAGAAAGAGGGTGCAAAACGGAGCCGGGGCAATCGATGTGTGCCTGTATTAAAGACGACGCTGCTCTAAGATTAATGGAGGTGGCGCGCTAACCCTGAGATTTATCTCGGGGAAACGTCGGACCGTATGGGAAATTAATGTAGGAAAACGATCCGCGATTGACCCGCCGTGAAACGCGCGCGATTTCCACGCCGACGCGTTCTCCTTCCACATCTCGTTACTGTACAATTTTTTTTTTTTTCGGTTCGGTCTCCATTTCGAACGGATTCGTTATTTTATTATCGAGTTCGCGATTCACCCACTCGTCATTGTGAAACGTCAGTCGGTTCGATACGCGTCCAACTGCGCCCATAATCACCCTCCGGCTGCCCGATGGACGTACCTTCTTCTTCTTCTTCTTCTTCTTCATCATCTTCTTCTTCTGCTTCTTTCCAAGACGCGGTCGTTACCGCACACAACTATTGTATTTTGCCTCTAACCCGATGTCATTGCACCCTGATAAATACCACATTACATTCTACTTATATAGATACTGGTGCATTTATTATTTTATCGCAATTTTAATACTTTCATTAACACAGTCATTAACTATTTCAATGCTCTGCGTTAGTCTCTAGTAGGCTAAGGAGTATTTGGATCTCTTCTTCATAAGAATGTTTTCTCGGGAAGATTTCCGATCTCTTCCTTTTAACAAATCTTCACTTGCCAATTTCGAAACCAGTTACTTTTCACTTTGTAATTTTACCTTCTTATGCCTGGTTTATCCAATATCTTCGTTCATTTTCGTTCATTTCACTCTTTAATACACTTCCTAATATTATCCCCTAGTCATTCGTCTTCCTAATTTATCTTTTATTGTCTAATTTTTCAACTACTTCGTAGTTGACTATTTCCTTTGCTCCCTCAATCATCAACTGCTCTTCGCCATTATATCTCTATGTAGCTAACGGTCGGATGGAGATATTCGGTTCCTCGTATGGCGTGGATTCGGGTCCGATTGACCGCTCCTCGGCTAATCCGATTAAAAAACGAGGCGAGGCGGCGGCGCGAAAATAGTATGAAGAATATGTAAGAAAGTAAAAAAAAAAGGTACGAGCCGAACGAAACGGAACGCGAAGAATAAAAGGGGGACTGGTTGCAACATACGTGCATGTTTATTGTGTTCTATAATTGAATTTCTAACAAACGGAATGGTTAAAATGATTAGCCGGAGTGTACCGTTCGTATCGCAAGTCATTTAGGTTTAATTAAATTTATAGATATATATGCATGTGGGATATATGGCATTGGTGGTGCTATAGTTTGGTGAAAAAAAAACGGGGTTAATTAATTGTTTTATTGGACTTGTTTGGATGATTCTTACTACAGAGGTTTTTCTATTGCTGGGTTATTTTATAAGTTCTTTGTAGGTTCTTCATTGAAAAAGACAGTTCTTGAAGAAAGGTTTGGAAAGTGTCGAATGGGGCGCCCCTGGTGGACGGCACGAACACGAGGAGGTCCTTTAATGCGGGGCACACCTTCCGCCTTTTTAGTACCGTCGATATATATTTTTTTTTCTGGCACCATTATTAATTTTATCTCGTAAACTATTGTAGTGATTTAATTTCCGTACGCGTATACGTATTAATTGAACATCATTTGCTCGTGTTAAATATGACAATGGGTTTTTTTTTCTCCGACCGCTTGAGGAGATCTTGTCTCTTCTCGTCGAGAATAGAAACTCGAAAAATACAATTCGAATAATAATCGGGGAATATCGTATAGCGGCGTAGAAAGGGAAAATCGTGCATTTTTTTACGGATTTTCTCATGCCTCGGTTTCGAGATCAAATCGAACTGTATTAATGAGTAATGATGCACGACCGATTCCAACATACACAGTCATTAGTAACAAATAGCAATAATAATAGCCGCAATGATATATGTCGATCGAACGATCGTAATCGTACCGTTGGGCTTTGGAGTTTAAACAGTACCTAACCTCACTTTATCCCGCTATCATCGTACTATTAACTGATCTTCTGCAAACTCTAAATTAGTCTATAACCTGTAATAATCGAATGGTTTTTTTTTTCTTTTTTGCTTAATGGGCGAAGCATGTTCGTTTCTTTCAATGCTATATACACATTATCAAGTTAATTCAGCGATGACGTCATTAGTCAGTAAACTGTTAGTGTACTATACAGGGTATTAATTACTTGAATACTAGATTAGTAAATCGGATCATCTCAAAAATAAAATTTGATCAGTACGCTGGATTCCATTTTTCACCAGCTTTTCAATGAAGGCCCACAAGCCCTTAGGGTTGCATTTGAAAGGAACGCGTTAAGGGTAGTTTAAGCTACCCCTGAAAGATTGTACTTCTTTTTATTAACACGGCCTATAATCTTCGTTATATTTTTCTGAATTTTTTCATTCGTTTAACGCGCGATATCGCTCGTGATTAATAACGTCCGGGGCATTGAATGATATTGTCAATTTCGCCGCGAATGATCTCGAAACCGGCCGGGCATTCCTGGTATACTCTGTATACACATATACCTCTTTGACATCGGTAATGAGTGCGTGCGGACGTCCCGCTGGCGTTTCGGCGGGCGCGCTCTATGGGAAAAACCGTCCGCTCTATTGTCTCGTTTTCTATTGATGTGTGGTCCACTTTGTAAGCGCCGGCTTTTTCGC